CTGCAGTGAAGGAAATTTTAAATCATTAGATTTTCAAATAAATGCCATATAACTTGGTTCTGTAGTATATAGGACCTGCAGGAAAACGGCAGCAATGCAGCATGATGATATGAGTACTGCAGCAGGGGGAAAGGCATTGCATCTAAATCACAATCACATCTAACCCTAAACTGTCATTATAGTGACAGTTTAAACAAATTATGTAAACAGTGCTGACGAGGCAGACATTTTTTTTTGGAAAAGGAAAAAAGGCCTTTGAACTAACAAAATCTGAGGAGCAAAATACAGTTAATCCTTCATGCAACAACACATTGCTACATTTTGATAATGGTTCCTCTTTAAATTGGTAAACCCTCATCTGATGTGTTTGTATGTGCTCTATTGCAGCTCTACATTTCAGTAAAAGTTCACTTTGCAAATACTAATACTTACAATTGTAATGCTCTCATAGATTGAAGGTGCTTTCCTTAAAGTTGGCTTTTGTATACATTTAAAAAAGGTATGCTACTTTGAAAGACATTTTGTTATGTTTGAATTCTGTCACCTTTTGTGAAATGAGACTGCTGAAAGATGGTGTTGCATTTATTTAATTCACAGCCTCTCTGTTTAGGTCCATTTACAGACATATAAAATTACCCCAATAAGTCCCGACCACCTCATTACCAACATAACCTGCAGCCAGTCTTTCAAGGACAACTCTCTAATGACACTGCACGTCTCCGCTTAATGACTTTTTAAAGCACGGTGAGACTTTCTGCTACAAAGAAGGGAAGAAATGAATAGAAAGAGCAAAGCGCACTCTGATAAAATAAGAAGCTTAATTGATCCCCGATGTCTGTTTAATATTGAAGACGTGAGTGAGTGTTTCCTGACGCTGCCTCATACACTCTGGTGTATTTCATCCCTGTATCTACATTGAATCTGGTCACATTCGCAGATGTGGCTGCACCTGGATGTGCTAAGACACCTGACTACTCTTATTGTTAAATAACTGCGTATACATACAGCATGCCCTTTTTCTGCATTGCTGTTTTTCAGAACCAAAGTCATAAATCAGCAAAAATGTCAGATTTTCACTGTGAAAAATTGTTCTACAAAATCATGACTTTATGAAATACTAAAATGTGATGATATCAATGCGTATTCTAATTTGTTACACAAGGCAATGTGGCCTTATGACGGGCTTGATACATGTTTGTGAATATTACCAGTACATGTTTAGAAATTAAACAATTTCAAATGATAGAATGGGGTCCAAACCATGCAAAATATGTTTTATCATAAATTCACACTACTGAGTTATACTAAACAGGGTATTTTAGATGATTAAAATGAAAAAAGAATACATGTGTTCAATTTGAATAACAGATTAAAGTCCATATTGAGTGTGAAAATCCAGTTTAGCAGGACCAGTCTGACTCAGTTGATACAAATAAGAGGAACATGTGTTTTGATTTAGTACCACTGGTTGTTTTGTTGTTTCTCTGCAACACCCACAAAACAATCCTCGAATGATGAGGTTGTGAGAAAATCAGTGAACCGCTGTCCCTGATCATCATGGCTGCCAAAAACATTAAAGGACAATGCTCTTCATATACCACTATGATTAGTTAAACCACTTCAAAGACTGCTTTACTTTTATCATCCCTATTTCCACTTGACAGTTACTCGAGTTTTCAGTTCAGCTTCGTTAAATGAAAACAGAAAAAGTTGGCTGCATGATACTAAACCTGCAGGCCTCGGCCAAGTGTCTGCCCTGTTCTACATATTTGTAGGTGACACTTGTGCTGCTTTGTGTTGTGAGTTTTCTTTATTTAAACCTCCTGTATACATGTTTGAACAGATTACCTCAAAACAAGAAACAGTTTCATGCAGTTATACTTATGTTTAAATTGTGTTTTGGACTTTAATATCCTCAGAAACCTACTTCACTTATAAAATCAAAGTATGCTGCGAGAGTGTTACTCTCAAACACAGTGTTGAAATACAGGAAATGGGTTAAAAAAAAAGTGGCAGTGACAAGTCTTGAATTTACTGTGTACTGTACCATGACGGATGTGCATGTACATATTATTCAGTGGGTTGTGCGCAGAGGAAATGAGCTTGAGCTCCCCAGGGCAGGGATTACTCTAATGACTTTGAGAGCAGCCTTGTGCGCTCTAACTTCTGACCTCTGCTCATCCTCTTTTTCAAAAGAAGACAAGAGACACACACATGTTTTCTTAGACACAAACTCACACACAAGCAAGCACACATATTATTCACACATACACTCATCGACCTCACACACGGGCCGGCGTGAGTTAAGTGATGCGGAATCACACACAAACAACAACACAGCAGATCCTCTACAGCCCGGCACTATCTAAAGAATGCAGACCCCCAACCTGCTCTTATTTTTGGGTCTGTCAATGGGCGTACTGCTACTTGAACATCATGCTGCATCTTATGCCGTCAGCCCGCAAAGCGCCAGCGTTCCATATGAATGCATCATTGGAAAATCGATAGATGTATTGCTTACATAACCATTACGCACCGGTACCACGGATATTACAGGAAACATCTTTTAGAATTCAGAACTGTTTTCAGGCAAATGTCATTTATGAATTTTAAACATATACAATTCCAGAATACAAAAACACTTTTCAGTTCTAGTGCAAAGGCATTGGAAGTCTAACTGATATACCCCAATAATGAAACTATAAAAATAAACAGGCTTAAGATTCTTATAGGGCAGCATTAAACAGAAAACACATGTTTTACATGCCACCCTAAACACATCAAAAAGCCCAACACACAAATGAACAGCCTTAAAGACAGCGGAGCCTAACTCCTAAATAAAAACAAAAATGTTCTCTCTTTGAAATGGCAACTACCGAGACATGTTCTTTATAGGGGGAAAGAAAAGCAATTATTCTCTCTGAAGTCATTCAATATTTTTGTGTGGCTAATATTAAATAACAAAATATATCAGTGCTACGCTTAGATCAAATATATGTAATTAGATAAATTGAGGAAGAAGGAGAACGGCTTGGCTGTAAAGTGCATGGTGTGTGCATGCTAAGACCCAACACTGGCACAGCTGCACGGAGCTGCACTCACGATTTATCATCTCTACATCGCAGGAGCCAGTGGCCCACACCACTATTAATCATCAGCAAAATCATTTAATTCAGCCCAAGCCCGACTATTGTCTCATTCTCTCCCCTCACTCTGGGCAAATCAGCCCCCACAGCAGCAGCACACACCTCAGAGGAAATCACACAAAACAGAGTGGGATACAAGTGTTGGGTTAAAACGGGCTTTTCTTTTTTTCCTTTCTTTTTTTGACAAGCTGTGCAGCACATCATCCCTGGCATATGATGGCTTTTTTTAAAACAAATTTAACAAGTATGAAATGTACTGTAAGACTTCTCAGTGTAGGATAACTGTTGATCACTCAGTGCTTTGACAATGTGGTTATTCTCTATGAAAGGTGCCATTTGTGTTTATCCTTTGCTCGCGAGCTTTACTCACAGCCGTTTCAAAAAGCTGGGAAATCCAGACTGAAGCTGTTCTCAGAAACCTTATTCCCTCTTTAAAAGTAGATTTTGGCGCATAGGTCTTCCTGTTTCAACAAACAAATTGTTCTGGAACAGTGAAACAAGATGCCCACAAGGCTATTCCTTGTCCCAGAACTTAAAGAATAACTTTCCTCTTGTGTTTCAGAAAAGTGGCCTTTTCAGTTAGTGCACCAATGCAGTGCAAAAGCTAGGTTGAAGACGACGAAAGGTCTAAAAAACATCTGTAATGCCGGATTGGTTACAGCAGCGTTTAGCCTCTTTCTCCCCACCGCAGCGGCTGACTTACATTGGCACCTACACCAGCGCCCCCTCACATGCCTGACATGGCTTCTGCCCTCACTGCACCTTCCTCTCTGAGAGCATGTCTGCCCAAGGTCCATTGACAAACAGGATAAAGCAGGGTGAAATTGGCAAAGCCAAACGATGACAGGCTAATGACAGTGAGCACACAGCGTCCAAAAAACACAGGCAGCGGGCACACAACACATACACAGATCAGGAAGCGAGCAAAATAAAAATGTGCAAATGCAGGGTGCAAATATAGAAAATGCAGAGCCACAATAAATTCACACAGAGATGTCATCCTCACATACTGTCCTTGAAGAAAAAACAAACTCAATTCACAATCCCACATATTTAGGATCACATGCATGCACACACGGTCACACACAGAGAGATAGAGATACTGTGTATAGACACACACACACACACACACACACACACACACACACACACACACACACACACAATAATCATAGGTCACATTCTGCAATAAAATTAACATAATGTAATTATACTATACAAACCCATAATGATTCACAGATGAGGATGTAATTAATGTACCCAACATATTTTAAATAAGGTAATACTTAATTTACCATAAGAAAAAGTGGTTTGTAAAGATAGTTTAGATTGAGTGTGATCATTATGTTCTCAAAAGGACTTTTCACCCACAGTTAATTTGGACTTTTGAAAAAGAAAATATGGAACCTGTTTAAGACAATAACGTGTCAGAACAAATATGCAGTCACATCTAGGTCACTGCATATGCTAATCTATTGTGTTGTGGTTTTGATCAAGTTATCTGTAACAACAGAGTTTTCAAATGCAGCATCCGGGTCAAAATGAAAAAAGTGCCTTGACCTGAATTACTTTCGATTTTGTACTTTATCAGTTTGGGTACATTTATTAATAACCGTTTTTCCAATTAAAAAAATATGTTTCTGATTCGTTCAGGGTGACTTGTTATTAAATTGAAAAAAATAAACACTCAATATGAACAGTGATAATATGTAGTGCAGTAATTTCTATCACGTTACGTCTTGATTAGTTTTTCATTATGTTTCAAACACAAAAGCAGAAGATTTTCAGGACAAGTAAAAAGAAAAGTGAGAAACTTATTGAAGTCAATTACATACATTTATTGCATATCATTTAATTGTATGAAATGAAAAAAACGAGCACATATGAACATCACATATGGTTAGTGAGTGAAATAATTTTGCACAGCAAAATATATATATATATATATATACTATTTATAAGAGGAAAGATTAATCAACATATTTTCAAGATTTATTGGCGAATGATACTCCCTCATTTTGCACATGCAGGGTGTCAATCCCTGACGATCTAAACAATGTCCAGACATTATTGAATATAATAATTGTTATTGCTTTGCAAATATTGAGTTCGTTAGAGACAAAACAAATATCTCCTGATCTGATAATAAAGTATCAAAATGTTACGAGTAAGTCGTAATAGAATGCCAAACGTATATGTTCAGATGTGGACAATAGCTACTAACTTTCTTCTTGACTCCCACATGATAACAGCGAGGATGATGTTTGCATTTCAGTCTAAAATAAGTCAGATCGTGAAAACACTCATTTCCAAAAAGCATGGCAATTTACTTTTACTTTTCCCCACAAGGCTTTTATGAAATACAGTAGTGAAATGTGTGCCGGTGACCAATATAATGTTGACATCTCTGATTCAAACACATGCTGCAAAAGCGCTGTTTATGCACTGCACAATACTGCTCATTCTAGCCTATGAATTGGAGCCGAGCCAACTTTTCTCAACCATCGTTAAAAATACTTTTGTGCAGCAACCTTATTATCCTATTATATATGTGCTTTAACCTGTAGCACGTTATCTTTTGCAACCTATAAAACTCTGTACTTAAATTATGCATTACAATTATTCGAAGTGTGTCATAAGCAGAGTGGAATATATTTAAATAGCAATATAGGCTTTAGCCAACAGACTAAACTTTCAGGGAAGGGATCGTGGATTTTCTTTTTTCCCTCGCACCGGGATCCCCGCCGATCAACTTCCATCTGGAATGCATAGCGCATTCACTGCAGCCTAATGACAGCCGCTGGTGGTGCACTTCAACACAGCTGAAATGCACTTGTGTAAGGGGGGGGTGGGAAGTCCTGTCACTTTTTTGCTGCTGTCCCCAAAAAGTGAGGAGGTCATAAATGAATGTATGAATGCCATGCTCATCTGACAAAAATGACATATTCAAGCACATAAAGAAAATAAAAACCATACATGTCCAGCATGCAGGAAAGTTCAATTTACATTTTCTTAAAAAAAAATTATAATAAAAAACAATGAATAGTTTGTAATGAATATAGTCTTTTGTTGCTCAACACAAAAGCAAGCAAACGCATGAGATGAGGTGGCGTCAAACGGCAGGCTCGCAATCCTCCAAGTTTGGCAGACGAAAAAAAGAAAGGTAAAAAAAAGACCGAAAACATATTGTCGATGGATACAGTTTTCTGTACATTGAATTCAAAGTCAAATTATGAAAAAGTGTAGGTTGAAGAACTTCGAAGCTGTAGCTATACTTAGTGCTTGCATGCACAAGTATACTGCAGCATAAAGTTGGATCAACTTTTAAAAATCATATTTTACTCAAACAATGAAAATCTTATGAACAACGATGAAAAAAATATTGACAGGCAGGCTATGCATAATATTTTGAGTATGATAGCAAAAAGTAGATAAACGTTTTCTATGCTTCTCCAAAATAAAAATAAACATGGGTGACAAAGCCCTCAAAAAAAAAGTATGTTTAAAATAATAAAAATAAAAAGTTGACAAATTAGTTCTTGGTCTAGGCATTTTCGCCAACAAAAAAAAAAGTTTCATATTGAAAACTTTTGTTAGCGGGGTGAGTAACCCAACTGATATTCTTTTTTTCACGATAATGTCGAGACTCACATGAAAAATTCTGGGGATGAAGGGTTGTTGTCGCTGCTGGATCCATTTTCTCTGAAGCCGTTGCTGATGAGCTTTTCATACTTTTCTTTGTACGCGTCCCTCTCCCGGACCAGCCTGGAGATCTCCTGCTTTAGGTGATCGACCTGCTGGACGAGATGCGACTTCTCCCCCTCCAGGACGTGCCGCTGCTGGACCCGCTTGTACCGGCAGGACTGCGCGTAGCCTCTGTTCTTTAGAGTCCTCCTCTTCTGTTTCAATCTGATCACTTCTTCCTTGCTGACCCCCCGTAGCTGCCGGTTGAGCTCTCTCACTGACATGTTGACCAGCTGGTCGTCTGAAAACCGGTCATCCAAGCGCATGTGTGGGTGAAGTGACCCAGAAGTGCCGTTGGACTGGGAGCCAGGTGACTGGTGATGGTTGTTGCTGTGGTGGTGATGGTGGTGGTGGTGGTGTGGAACTCCGTTCTGAGCAGCTGCCGCAGCGATAACTGCCGAAACCACCGCTGCGGCGGACCCCATCTCTTCCCCGGCCATGGTGCCTCCTGCTCCGGCTCCGCCAGCAAACTGCTGGCCCCTGGCATAGCCATCGAAAGACTGGAGCTGGTGACTGCTGTTGATCAGCGCCTCGACTGCGTCTTCGGGGCTGAAGCCCAGCGCCTCTGGATTCAACTGCTGTTGATAACCGGACATCCAGTAGAAATCCTCTATGTGTGCCTTCTGTTCGCTCCCCGAGCCCGGACTGGGCGCCGAGAAGCTTGGGGAAGGGGGCACCGAGCTGCACGGCGTGCTCATCGGGGTGGAAGACAAGGATCCCCCGGCGATAAGGCGACTGCACTGGCTGATGTTGCGATCGGGCTCCACCGGCTCCTTTTTCACTTCAAACTTCATCAGATCGAAGTCATTAACATATTCCATGGCCAGGGGACTGGTGGGCAGGTCGGAGTTGCTCATTGCCAGCTCTGATGCCATCCTCTTGCTGCTGCTGACAGTCCTCCAAGTGGGGTGAAGAGCAGCTGTCAAACTGGGTTGGTTTGGAAGAACGTGAGCCAGTTTGATTTTTAAGCGTTTGTCTTGAAACTGAAAAACAGCTTTTCAGAGTCCTTTTTGCAGCCGCGGACTTGCAGGCGTGTGAGAGTAGTTTTTCTTTGCAGTCTATTGCACAGACACACCAGTGCCGCGCGCACGAGTAGCGGAGTCCTTTTTCAGCATGTGAAATTCGGCGGTTTTGTATTTCAAACATTTAACACTTTACGGGCTCTTCATTAATACATTGCGCAGGCGGAGAGGGAGACGAGCCGAGAGTTGGGGAGTGAATGCAGCCTCGCACGTTACAAGGCGCTGACTGGTGGGGCGATTTTTAGAGGGATCACACAGCAGATGAGTTTAAGCATTGTAGCCGCCCTGACGTCAGGCTGGAAATAGGAAATTGACTCGGACGAAGAGCCAATAGGGTCGCACACTCCGCGAGCTAATTAACATATTGGGAGCCTACAGAATCAAAACTTTTCGCAACTGTCAAAAGCCATCAGCTGACTGTCAGCTGGGACAGACTTTAACTCTTTGACTACTTTTGCTTTAATTTTAAGTTTATACCGAACAACAATTTATCATAGTTCATGATAAGCGAAACTAAGTGAACCTTGCATGCTTTAAAGGCATTCACATAGGATTCCCAATGTGCACAAAGAGAGGCGAGAACACAAGGAGAGAGATAGATAGATTTATAGATAGATAGATAGATAGATAGATAGATAGATAAGGATAGATAGATAAGGATAGATAGACATGCATGCAAATATTTTATATATCTATAATCTGCCTTTTATGTACAAAGTGTTTATTCAAGAAGGGTACATTTAACTGTTTGCCTGTTTAAGCTGCATTTATATTTTATATTATTTTCATTTTTAATCCAGCATTAACATTATTTTTAGTCTTTAGTTTAAAAATACGTTCCTTATGTTATTAATGACAATAAATAACCAAATGAAAAAAACTAGAACCAACAAAATGTATTAAACACGAGTGCCATATATGGATGATGATTTTGACTTGAGTTGAGCAAAAATATAAAACGTAGATTGAAGAGATTTACCATTCCTCTGCGCACCATTATAAAACTCAACACTGCCACCTTTTGGACATGCCAGTGCATGGGATTCCCCTTTAAATCACTGTACTAGTCCAAACATATAAAAAAGACAGGTTTAAAAAAAGGGATTACTAAACATAATGTTTGCAAAAAACTCACACATTCAAATAAATTCATGTCAGTGGCAGTGAATGCCTGTGAACCTGGTGTTCTATCCAAACTGACATTATGTCCCACACCCATAAAAATAACTTTATCTAACCACTTGCCCGGGCGTTGCTGTGGAGTCATATAAACCACTCTGGTACATTGCACTTTATCTCAGTTCAGAGGTCTTCTAGTTTTAATTGACTCATGTACAACATTAACATAAGGCTGTATGGCTGTTTCCATAGTTTCCATGTCACTGTAAGTCCTGTATAGTAAGTGGGTCATAATGGGCTTTAATGGATCCAAATCTTCATTATCTTTTTATGTAGATTTGTATTATTGTATCTAGGGGATACAGGAGCCCTTATGATGCTTGTTATATTATTTTCTCATACATTTGTAGAACAAACTAAGTTCAGTTCAACACTAGTGTGAAGTGATACTGACACATACAGTCTCGGCAGACTGACGATGACTGTGTATGACTTGTGATTGAGTTTTTGATATACAACTATTGAATGTTAATGCATTTAGCTTGATTTAGACATTTAATTTGTGTCCATTAGCCAAGATCCATCATCAAGTATGATATAATTTTAGTTTGGGATTCATACCCTTAGGTTTGAGTTCCTTACTGTATTTGCTGATCAAGTGATGACACATGGCAGTTTAATAATTCAATCATAATTCAATAATGCAATACATTTGTTTGGGAAAAGAGTGATGTAAGCTATGGCTTGGTCTCGCAGGACAGTTAGTGCTGATTTCTTTTGTGGCCTCTTTTGACATGGTGCTGACAAATTACCATTTATTTCCTGTGACCAAAGCCTATAATCATAGTCTGTCTCTCTCTCCCTCCACGTGTATGATCTCATAGCGATGTGACTTTGTGTATTTTTAGATTCCTGGGTACACACAATTTAATGATAGGCCAAATCAGTTACGTCCCTGCTGCCAAACACTTTCAAAGATGATCGTGCCATTCTTTCAGTTATTTTCATAACCATAGGGAGTTAAACACTTTCTCTATGTTTGTCCAAACTGTAGCTATGAGTTTCCACTGCTTCAAATTTCGTGGAAAAAATCTTTCTGACGGTCTTCCTGTTTCATGTGGATATGCGATGTCATAATAAGGGCAAAAATGCTGTAAATAATTATGTTAACAATAACATCAAAATCATAATAATGACACCATTTTGAAATACGGAATGATATATTTTTCTACTGCATAACGAAGGTTGACTGTTTATAAAAGACATACAAACGAAATCAACGAAACACTCAGTTGTATTGCCAGTCACTGCATCTTCCAGTAAAGGGGTACATGGATTTATCTACTTGCAAGTTAACACAACACTATGTGTGTGGCTCCAACAGAACTCAAATGGAGCCCTATTGTTTCTATTTCCATTCTGTTGCTTTGTCATCTGTTTGGGCCTACCTGTTCAGGGGAAGGCACAGCAGTGGCCCGTTCCCTGGGGTACAGCCACAGCAGAGCGAGACTAATACACAAACGAAGGGAGAGCTCATTAGTCATGACAGAAGAAAGTGGCAAACCTAATTTAGCTGCTTTTGTCCCTTTGAAGTTATTGATGATGCAGAGATGAGAGATCTACATGGAGAGGAACCGGGGCACTGTGAAGAGAACCTCTCAAACCATAAGTAAGAAGTGATGTGGTTGAAGATCAACACAGGTTATAAAAAATTATTTAAAAGGTCAATCTCATTGTTATGAAGGTTGAGTCCTTTGGAAAACTAGAATATTTTTTGGAAAACAGAAGAATATGCTTGAGTACTGTAGATGGTGTTCTCATTGTGATTGCTGATTATGTTAGGGGCCCTTCAATGTTTTGTTGAAACGACAAAATAATATGTTATTTTGAATAGACTACATAATGTGTTTTGTAATCGTTTTTGCCATAATGCTTTAGAAGATGACTTCTGGTTTAGTTTTGGAGTGGTGCAGTGTCAGTCAACAGGGTTAGTTTAGTCCTAGATTCATCTAACCAGCCTCTTGTCAGCTCGTTCACGTATACAGTATTGCACGGGCTGTAAATCTTTCACTTTCTTTGACAAATACTCCTGATAAATCTTTGTGTCTTAACAGTTGTTGGTTGTCCCACTCTGAAATCTGCAAGTGTTTTGATCAACTCGCTTTTCTTTTTATGTACACTTTTGATGTCCTTAGCTTTCAGTTATCTTCCCAGAAAATACTTTAAAACATAAACAAATGTAATCCTTTAACCTAAACTCAGCAATAACAAGAATTGTGGCTTTTAGATTCTTAGTTGTTGTATCAGTCTTAACTCGTCTCATTCTGGTGAGTGATAGAGGCAACTGAGTGGAAAGAGCAGAGGTCAGGACGTTGTTTGCTGTATGTCTGTTAGACTCTCTCTGTTTGTGTGAAAGTGTGTCAGTGTGTGGTGGTGGAGTGTTGCTTAGTCCCAGTCAGGGCTCGATAAGGCCATCTAATCAGCGTTTTTACATACCTACACTTTTGTAAACAGCCCTTAACCTGAGCCTTTTTTTGACTGTATTCATGTCTGCATTGTTGGATACCTGAAAGTTGATAGCACATGCAAACACACTGGGAATGCAGGTAAAATAATTGAGTTACATATTGTAAATATGAAAAAAACATGATTTGAGCACTACTTTTAACTTTTAGATGAACAAAAAAGAAACAATACCCGTGCTTTAAATCTCTTCTAACGTGTAGAGCTCTGGATTGCTCGGGGGCAGTCCAATTTCATCAACAGTTTAGTGAGAACAACAAAGCTGGAATACCAATTTTCACCCCACCAACAGAATGTGGGCACAGCCATGTCATAATTACCTTAATCCATTAGTCAGAAGGAGGGTGAGGCTGCGAAGGGTGCTACAGAGGACAGAGCAGACAAAGCAAGGTCAGGAAGAGAGCAGTTATGTAGTCTGAGGGGGATTTTGGATGGCCTCTCTGACACTGGTCGAAAGTATTTGGAAGCTTACAACTAGTGGGCTTTGTATGACTGGAGAAGTGTAGCGTACAACCCCGAGCTGGGATCAGTTCTGTGGCTTGAGGGCGAGGAACCAGCAGTAAAGCAGTGAATGTGTTACAGTGCTGTGAACAGCCTAGTCACACGTGTTTTCTAGACTGTCTCAGTGTCACATGACCAGGGGTGACACAGAGTTTTGAGGTTTAATCTGTCATATTTATTCCACTTCCCCCTCCAGCTGAATATTTGTCAAGTTAAATAACATGGTTGCTAATTAATACTGTGAGGCCGGTAAATGTAGGCTACTCTGTTCACCACATTTAGAGTAATCGAAGAAGACTAGTCAATATTGCACAATAATTGGCAGAGTGGCTTGCATATTAGCTATAATTACATTCACATGAACATAATGTATTGGTTTGCTGTCACGTGTAAGGTTAATGGGTATAGCAGTTTAATGGTATAATAACTGTTGAATAGTTTCCTAGGGTTATCTCCTTTGGACGCCCTCGTTGCTTTCACACAACTTAGACTTTCATCTCTGTGTGTGCAGTGTTTCCCACAGAATTTGATTCTATTTGTGGGGGCACCGCAACCCCCCCGGCAAGAAAAGCCAAAGGCCCCTTAACCTATTCGGGTGGCCCACGCATCCACCCCCCCCCTCAAATAAGAAAATACATGCAAGTTCATGGCTACTGTAGACAACGTTCTTGTTGCTCTGTGTTGCGTTGTTAATGAGTGAGACACACCAGAGTTGAGGATCTGTGGGGTATAAACCCCACAGATCCTCAACTCTGGTGTGTCTCACTCATTAACAACGCAACACAGAGCAACAAGAACGTTGTCTACAGTAGCCATGAACTTGCATGTATTTTNAGAGTGGTGGCTTGACTGACAAAGTCGCGGCACAGAGAGTGAATTAAAGTTGACAGTTTTTAGCAAATAAGTATGTAGTTAGTGTCTCAAGGATTATCAATTTGACAGTCTTCATATAGATATTTTCTACACGCTGTCTGCAAGGAACTGATTACCTTTCTACTCCCAAGTTTGTCCCAGAGTTATCCACGTGTGTATTAGCTTATTAGCAACTGAGTGTTTGCATTCATTAATACAATGAATGGAC